AAATAATTACAGTATTTCGTTATCCATTTTAACCTCAACATGGCACTAATGCTATCAATTTACCAAAACCTTTACTTCGTGGAAAAAGTTAGGCAGGTTATATGCTCGAAATGAAGGCAGAGCCAGATGTGCAATAAGAAATGAGTATATGTGAGTCGTTAGAATTAAGTATAGAAGCCTAAATAAAGATATATTGGTAACCGACAAATTTGTGTATATGTATGCGTGAGATATATTGATGTGGTAATAAACATGACACATCACTACACACTACTACATCAATATCGCACGCATACATACTCACAAATTGTCGGTAAAACAGCGGATTTTTAGAGTTTGATCTAGGGTTTAGCATCCTCTTAACTTCTAGTTTAATTTCTAGGCTGCCCAAAGGATCATTTCAGTTGCGACGACTGGGACAGGCGTGATAACAGCAACAATTGCGTTTCACTTTCGCAACGTTGCGACGGGATAATGCAATGTCCTAATGGAAAGGATGAGGTCGACTGCAATACGCTTCTAGAATACATAGGTCCAAACGATGTACGAACGAGAATATTTTGTACACATTTACTAATTATTGAAATTTATAAAACTTACAATTTCGATGCGTATCTTTTTGTTCGTAGATCTTTTCGGTTGGTTACACCCAAGGGTACCTGCACAAGAATGTACGAGGGCAATGGTATCCCGTTTGCTCGAAGTCATTTACTTGGGCAGAGGATGCCTGCGAATCGGAAATCGGTCGGCCGCTAACGTACGTCACGCAATTTTAATTTTTAATCACACGCATAACGTTCCAGCTAACGCAGATTATAACTGCAACATTGTAGCATTTCTACAATATAGCTTGAATGTTACAATATTGCTGCAATATTGCAGTTATCATCTATGTTCGCTGGGAAACGTATATACTCACAAAATCAACATAAGTTTGCCCAAAACAAATTTTGTCGAATCCTTGCTAGAAATTTTGACAAAAAGGCAAATTTTATTCTATCATATTCATCAATTAATCCTAGATATACATACTGTTTTTTTGACGACGTCGTATACACACTGGGAGGCCTCGAGGACCCCATATCCATATTTATTACTGTTCTAGTAAAAATTCTAGTAAAAATGGACATATTTCAATTAATTTTTTTTTCAATAGAGAATCGATCAAGAAACAAGCCCATAATGTTATGTTTAAAAGTCGATAAAATTAAGAAGCTCCGAGATATACAGGTTCAAAGAAAAAGGAAAGTTCAAAAAACGCGAAAAAATCTTGATTTAGCACCTAATTTCAAAAAATCATATCACTTTTGTTTATAGACCGATTTGAAAAATCCTTGAAAATTCTGAAAGGGCATACTTGAAATAGTGACAAAAAAATTTGGCGTTCCGATATTTTAATTTTTTAACAAAACTGCAAGCAGTCCCGGGGACCCCACGTTCACTTGAACTGTTCACTGCTCGGTTGTTGAGCGACATAATTGCCGCGCGTCAACACGTCTTTTGAGGAGATCCCAAACTTTATTTACGTCAATATCCCAAACCCCCTCCCCTTCCAATTTCAGAAATGTCAAATCGAGAAAGTTTCGCTGGGGTCTCGGGAACCCCAGTGTGTATATCTAAGGTTAATGATGTCAGCAAATTGGTGACAGATATAAAATAAAATCTGCTAACATAACATGAGAATAAATTATCGGCAAAATTCGTGCAAAGCTTACACGATCCGTGCACAATCTTACCAGCTAGATAGACAGCAACAATCGACCAAAGCTTCTTTTACTATGTGAGAGCAAATTTTCAAAGTGACCACTTTATTCACTTCTTAATGAAAATTTGCTCTCATATTGTGTCAGCAAGTTTGACAAAATACAAGTTTAGTACAAACCCAGTTGATACCAATTTACTGAATATTTTGATCGAATTTGCCAGGAATTTGTCAACAGACAACAAAATAATTACTAATATTTTGCTGACTGACAATGAGTATATAAATCATATATTAAAAATACATTAAAAATACATACATAAAAAATTATGAAATACTTGATAATAAAATTAATTAAATCCCTTAATTGAAAGTGTATATTTTGCAAATTAAAATTAATTAATATTCCAGTAAACGAGAATAAATTAAAATAGATTTTAAAAAATTTATTTCAACGTTCGCAAATGCGTACTTCTGAAAACCTAACTCCATTTCAATGCCCAATGCTTTTGTATTCATTTATAGGAATTGCATGAATCACATTTTCTATGCCATTCAATAAAAATAAAAAAAATTCAGCTTTAAAAAGTAAATCGTGAATATTGATTAATTCAAAATTTTAGACAGGAAATGCTGTTCTTTCAATCTACTTAAATTCAAAAAATGTTTTTCGTGAATGGACCATAAATGTTATTCATCTAAATCCAAAAAAAATTTTTTTGGATTTAGACGAACTGAAACAATGGATTTCCTAGTCACAATTAATATAATATAATAATATTATATTAATATTTATATTAAAAATACATATTTGTATTATGAAATAGAAATGCATTCATTTCCACGGAGGCCAATCGCGCATTTCAATCCACGAATTAAAAAATTTTAATCCATTTTAATCCTTTCCCGTTTACTGCGGGATTAAATTGATGCGTCTTTGCAGGACGATGCCGGAGATGCAAATCATGCGTGTGTCTGAGGAGGCCTATCAGGATCTTTACGTGATAGAATCTGGCACTGATGAGATCAAGTTGACGTCGTGTCCGGGTACAGCGGTGTACGTCAAATGTCCGCCGTTACCTTGCGGCACGAAAGCCCTACCGCGTCAGACTTTCTCCAACGCGACGAAGTACAAGTACATGACCAGAAGACACGCGGAGGAACAATCCGCCGTGGAGCTCGCGGAATTTAACAAGCTCTACCAGCAGACGCTGGGGCTGCTGAACGCGAGTCAATCGGTGTCCGGGACGAAGGTGCAGGAGCAGAACGACACCCTCGTTGGGTCGCAATCGCGAGTGGTCGGCGGCCGGGCGAGTCAGCCCACAGCTTGGCCCTTCCTGGTCGCGATTTACAAGAACGGCAATTTCCATTGCGGCGGTGTTATCCTCAGTGACGTTCACATAATCTCCGCAGGTCACTGCATGGACGGGTATGATTGATTTTTCAAAGACGACTCGCAAGTAAACCTGAGGAAACGTCAGATGCCGATTCTTCTCGAATTTTTTATATATAATTATGTTTTTTATGTAAAAATATGAAGAAATCTGTCATTATTTTTAAATTGTCCTTTTCCATTTTTTTTTAAATTGTTTTTCATTTTACGCAAACACAATTTTACACACAATTTTTAAATTGTTCTTTTTCATTTTTTTTAAATTGTTTTTCATTTTACGCAAACACACAATTTTACACACATTTAACATGTTTACCATGTTTAAAGCAGTTTATTTCTCAAGAATAAATTTACTCTCGATTCGTTAAAACGTGACACACATGCAGTGGAACACTAAAATAATATATAATTTTTTATTTTCTTTCTTATCGCAAATTAAGCAGTTTTGAAGGTATATTTTAGCCAACTATCTTTCGAGTTCTTCCATACAAGTGATTCTGTAAAGAAATTTGAAAAAAATGTATGAGGTGCAGGATTTTCGAAGTCTGACGTTTCCCGAGGTTTACTTGTCAATTATACAACGAATATATTACAAACAACAATAAATAATAATATTTTTCAAATGCAGAATACACGTTTTTTAATCTTAAAACATAGTATTTGAATCTAGAAGATCCATAAGAAATTTCGATCGCTTGCTTTGCGAAGAGGGAAAAAAAGATCGGGCTGGGTAGAGAGAAGGGGATAGAATTAAAGGTTTCCACTATCGATTGCAATGTTGACTAGTTTCAGATCAATTTTGTTTCAATTTTTTTTAGACCTTGATTTAATCGTAAAAATAATTTTTTGTTACGTAAATTATATTTTTTAAAAGAAATAACAATGCTTTTTTGAAAATGCAAAATTTTTGTTGAAGATATCGCTCTTTAGCTTTAAAACGTGCAAGGATTATAAAGCCTTTTAAAAGACTTTTGTTGCAAAAATATGATTTAATTTAAAAAATGAATATTTAAAAATTTTTTATTTTCACTTAATGATATTTCCTTAATTACTTCCTAATAGACCATTTTTTATTTGCTGTTCAGTCACATTTCTAAGACTGTGGAGACTTTCATTTAAAAAAAAATTTGTTAAAAATATTGATTGGAAGAAGTTATGACTTCTCAAAGTTGCATTGGGTTTCCCAGATCCATGCGCTGCGTTTTAGATTGGCGTCGGATGTGTTGTGTTTCTAGGGTTAAATCTATCGATTTAGAATGTGTCTGCTCTAATTTTTCAGATACCAGGAACATTATTACGAGATACAAGCCGGTACGCTCAGGCGATTTTCATTCTCACCGATGGCGCAGTGGAGACGGGCGAGATACGTGATTATTCATCCTGGCTACGTGAAACGGGACATGCAGAACGACTTCGCGGTGATTAAGTTGGACAGACCTCTCCTTTTCAATCGATGGGTCCGCCAGGTTTGCTTACCAACGTCAAACACCGCTGGTCCCGAATGGAAAGAGGGCCCGTTACCGCAGTCCATGTGCGTCGCTATCGGATGGGGTGCCGTAACAGAAGATGGACCAGAGCGTAAGCTAAATTTTTTTAGTCGTTAGAACAGTAATGAGAACAATCTACACGCAGCGATAACTTTGCGCATATAAAACAAAATTGTTCTTTAAAAAGATACAAATAACAAAAAAAGTATAAAATTTAAATAGAATTCCTAGTGTTCAAACTAAAAGAAAAGTAAAAAATAACTAATTCAGTGCTCAAACTAAAAAAAGTAAAAAAACGTAAGAGGTAATAAGATATAAATGTACTAAAAGCGCGACTTATTCTCGAAAAAAATCTTCATAATATGGCACATTTTTTAAGAACATTTTATTATAAATATATGAAGATTTTTGAAAAATATTTTAAACTTCTTCAGATTTTATCAATTTTCTTTGGAAATAATAAAATGAAAAATTTCAGAATATTTCAGAATTCACATTTATAAAGAATTCTAGAAAAAAAACTTTTTCAGCATTTCTGAGAAAGGTGTTTTAATTTGTGTAAGAAATTTTCTAAGAAGTTATAAAATTATTACATGAATATATTACAAGAATTTTGTAAAATTCTGAAATTTGTACAGAAATTCTGACGAATTATATAAAAAATTATTAAAAAATTTTATCAGAAATGTTCTGTGTTTTTTTATTTAAAAATACAATTTTATTTTAGCGGATCATTTGCGGGAAGTGAAAGTACCAATTTTACCATCGTGTAAACATTTGGTCGATCGGAACGAAGCTTCGATCTGCGCGGGATATCCTGAGGGTGGCCACGATGCATGTCAGGGCGACAGTGGTGGTCCCTTAATGTGCAGGTAATAATTAACAGTCTAAACATCACCGAGAAAAATGTGATTATTCCAACAAGAGGTACCTACATGTATAATGTAAAATAATAAATTCTGATCATATCAATCAGAATTCTTTTTATCATAATTGAATTTCTGTTTATCTCGACTAGATCATATGTTCAATAGATTTAACTTAAGAGCCAATTCTACTGTTTTTGACCAATTAAATGTACCGTTTAATTAAAATAACCAATTAAATGTACCATTTAATTAAAATAACCAATTAAATCGTCAACCGTGATCGATCAATTCTGCTTAATGATAAATTCCATTGGAATAATCGGCTGATCGGCATCAGATGCATTTAGGGCTAATTTCACCATTGATTAAGTTAATCTAAATGCATCTGATTTGTTATACCTTTTGTTGAATCTCATATTTCCAATTAATGCAGTCAGACATTTTCAGTGATCGAAAATTTCTACAACTATTACATACAATCTTCTTGCAGAAATCCGAATTTAGAGACACAGTGGTACGCGGCGGGCCTGATCAGCCACGGGGACGGATGCGGACGTCCGGACGAGCCCGGTGTTTACATGAAAATAAGTTACTACTTGGATTGGATTCTGCAGGCGTTCGAAACCTTAGGTGGGTCTGTTAAAAATTTGAAAATATGTTACGCCTTTTCTCCATTTAAACTTGTTCTTATTATTAGAAATATGTCTCTTGCAGATAATCACGCGACGTATGGAAATCAACCCTTGGATTCGTGTCCAGGATTCAGCTGTCACTCAAGCTCGGGAAAGTGCTTGCCGATACAGAGCCGTTGCAATGGCGTTGTGAATTGTTTAGACGCAGAAGATGAGATCGGATGCGGATTTTTAACGAACAACTATGCGAGTTACAGGAACTCCAATAATACATCTGCAAAACCGCAAACGGATGGAGTGTCCAGTGATACCACAGAAAAAAATAGTAAATCCAACTTTCTTATGATTTTCACGTCTCGGATTTTTATAATAAAATAATTGGAGATGAATTTACTCTGTCACAGAGCGAAATTTTTGATATGGAATTTTATGTTGCAGCAGTGAGCACGGAAGCAATTCCTATTTCTACTTCCCCCTACTTCTTCTATCAGACCGAGTCGCAGACTCGCGATAACGAAAATACCGATAATTCAGATACTGTGGATGTCTACGCGACAACGCCCGAAACGATAATGCCGAGCGTTAGATTGACGTTTACTTGCAGAAAGTGAGTATTTGCAAAATATTATAATCTGTTCACGGAAAGAAAACAATTTTGCTGGATCTAGATCTGGAAAATAATCTTTGTTCAATAATCAAAATGATTTTGTGGGAAAGCTGTCAAAATAATTGCTAGAATATCAAAACGTTTTATAGTAATGCTTATTACTTTTAACATTCCAACAAAATTTTTTGATGATTCAACAAGAATTAATTTTCAGGTCTGTATTCAGTAAAATTTTGAGAAACCTTTCAACAAAATCCTTCTTTCCGTAAATTGTATTAAAGATAAGAAATACAGTGATCCCCCTCGATTTACGCGAGATATTCGTTCCACATGGTTTTTTTTACGCGGTTGAGAACCTGGAGAACATGAAACCTGCAATGTGAGAGAAAGAAATAGTTGCAATTACCATAATTTAACTGTAATGCATAGTCGGTGCTATCTATTTGTTTAATAAGAATTAGAAATATAATTATTACTAACATTACAGTGATAACTACACTGAGAAAAAAAATTACTTAAAACAAAATAAATATGTTTCAGGTACCCCTCAAAGAAATAATTTTCTTGAAGCAAGTAAAATTTTTTTATTTTAAGTAAAAGTGTTTGCACTGAGAAAAAAAATTACTTAAAACAAAAAAATTTCACTTGCTTCAAGAAATTATTTTTTTGAGGGGTACCTGAAACATATTTATTTGTTTTAAGTTTTTTTTTTTCTCAGTGTATAAAAATGAAGATTTTTAAAAATAAATAATTATTTTACCATGCAATTATAGTCGAGAAATAGTTGTAATTATCATAATTCAACTGTATAGTCATTTTTGGTAATTATATATTTGTTTGATACACTGATAAATCTATAATGTCAAACCTTATTTAAGTCACCACTGCTCCTACTTAATAAATAGTTATTTTTAATTAAAACAATATAGTTATTTTTAAATAAATCGAATTTAACCAAAATTTGGATTAAATATGAACTGTTTTAAATTATTTAACTCCATTGTTTTAGTAAAAAAAGAACTATTTATTAAGTAAGAGTAGTGGCAACTTAAATAAGATTCAGTTTGACACTATAGATTTAACTATAGATTTAGTATAGAATCATAAATATAATTATTACTAACATTACAGCAGTAATAACTAAAAATGGAATTTTCTAAGAATAAACCATAATTATTGTATCAAACATTTTTCTCTCAGTGTGCCAGTAAAAATACATTAAAAAAATACGTGAGAGGAAAACTCTGTATGTATGTTATAAAAATATTTATTTTACACGGATTTATTTTGCGGAGAAACAATAAGAATGAAAGTAAACGATGGGAATACTCGCGTATAAACGGCGGGATTGTTAACCGCGCAAATTAAAATATTTAATAATGTAAATTAATACCTTTTAAATCGATGTTCCCATTTACACAGCCTGATTCAAACTATAACGATCAACAAAAGATGCGACAAGCACTTGGACTGCGAAGACGGCACCGACGAGGAGGACTGTACATGCAGGGATTATCTGTCGAATCTCCAATCCGTGGCGATTTGCGACGGACATTTGGACTGCGACGACGAAACGGACGAGAAAGATTGCGGTATTCATGCAGTCGTACGTTAAATTTTGCCGTTAGCTTTCTCGTCCATTCAACGAAACGGTTGTTTTTCCAGGTCTATGCAAGAACACCGAATTTTACTGCAGCAGGAGCGGCGGTTGCATCCCGATGACGAGGAGATGCGACGGGAATTTCGATTGCCCTCTACGGGAGGACGAAGTTGACTGCCGTAAGTGTTCGTGCTCTGCATAACGTTCGCCCTTAAGGGGTCTCACCTCTGTAGAAGTTTTAAAATGACACCTTAAGTTTGGGATTTTTTTGTGGATAAATGGATAACTTTATTTAAAATCTGCTTAGACAACATTATTGCACATATATAAGAAACCAAAAAAATATTTTTTTATTTTTCTTATGTCCAAAATAGCGGCGCACTGGCCTACACTTGCGGAATCCCTTTTTTTTTTATCGGTGTATAGGATTCTAGGCACACGATTTGACCTTGAACAAAACATAAAAAATTTTCATCATCTATACATATTAAAGACTGGAGACATACTTAGGGATTTTTTAAAATATTGATTTTTCTCAAAATGACAGCTATTTTACGAAAGACTTGTATTGATAAAAATACGAACTTTTCGTAAAAATAGCTGCCATTTCGAGAAAAATTAATATTTTAAAAAATCTCTACGTCTCTAGTCTTTAATATGTAGATAATGAAAATTCTTTGTGTTTTGTTCAAGAGCAAACCGTGTATCCGGAATTATGTACACAGATTTGAAAAAACAGAAAAAATGGATTCCGCAAGTAGGCCATTGCGCTGACATTTTGCGCATGCAAAAAAAAAATAAAAAAATATTTTTTATGTTTTTTATATACGTACAACAATGTCCTCTGAACAGCTTTTAAATGAAGTTATCTATTTACCCACAAAAAATCCCAAACTTAGGTATCATTTTAAGGCCTCAGGGGTGGTGAGACCCCTTAAAAAAATATTAACATCGATCGCCACACGTTTCTTCTTAATTTCAGTTACATTGACTGATGGGGAGTACGTAAATATGGATAGCGACGATCGGCCGATTTTGAACACAGAGGGTTTACTCAGTAGATACTACAACGGAACGTGGCACGTGGAATGTCCCCAGGCGGACATATTGGAGAACGGCACAGTAACGTCGACAATTGGTGGGAACTTGTGCAAATATCTTGGATTCCAGTACGTTTGACTCTCAATTCAACGATTCAATGAAAATCTAATATTCATTTACGTATACAATTTTTCCAAAATGTTAATTATTGCCATTCAGTAATATAACACTGCAATGGAAAACGGTATACACTCAAATAGTTTTTAAATTTTTATGTTAAAGTGATATTTAATATTTCTTTAATGTTAAAATAGTACAGTTTATTCTTAAGTGAATAAATAACTCTAATCTAATTTGAAAAATGCCAATAAGGAGCCGATACTGGATAATTTGTATAAATGTTATTTTTATAATTATATATAATTTACATTATCCATTTGATGTTCAGTGGCGGATACAAGGGAGGGGGCGGAGGGAGCGATCACCTCCCCCCTCCTGCCAGAGTTTTCCAAACAAATTTTGTATATTGCAAAAAGTCGATTTTAAATAAATTGACAAAAATAATTATTAGATTATTCGAGACTAAATTTTTACTTAATTTATTATAAATTTGATTAATACCTTTATATTTTCAACTTATGTATTCACTAAAAACGTTTCAATCAATTAATTTCGTTAAAAATAACATCAACGATAATAATAACTAAATACTGCTGATATTGGCATTTCTCCAGTTAGATTTGATTTAATAAATTTCGATTGAGCCTAATTTAATTTTTGAATAAATAACATAAAAATAATCTAATTTCAAAACGTATATTTTTACAAAAAGATAAATAAAAAATGATAAATAAAAAATGTACGTTAATGTCAAATTAACATTTCACGTAGAAATATATTTCACAAAAAATTTGTTTCCAACTTGTATTAAAGTGTTATATTTCTTGTTAATTTTTATATATAATATTTGTATTACTTTCTGACATATTCATCTTATGTTGAATTAACACAAAACTTTGTGTGGATTATTTGGGAAATGTATTAACAAATTTTCCAACTGTATACATGCGGTGTGACAATTAAGTTCCCGGACTGATTAGGTCATAAAAAAATACAAAAAAAATCAAGTGACATTTACATTGCTTTTATCAAAAATTCGGAAACAACAATTCCGCTCATGTTGACCCATCCGCCTTATATTTGCCTGATTTAGCGCAAGTAGATTTTTAATTTTCTAATTAAAAATTGAAAGATAAAATGTGTGGTCATTGCTCCAAATTAAATTCTGATGGCAAAACTGAAAGTGATTTGGGAAGAAGCGTTTTCTCGGGCTTTTGATTCATTGTATGAGCGATGTAAATGTTCGAAAACAGGCGGGGGACTGTATTTTAAGTGATGGCGTTAATAAATATTTTTTATCTTAAGTTGTGCCTTTTTTGTAGCCTCAGCTCGGGAACTCAATTAACACACCGTGTATTTCGATCAAAAGATATTAATGACAAAATATAATCGATTGCAGGAGTTTGCAGTCGTTTGACAAGATCGTCGTGAACGAAACGGAGCTGGAGACTCGGAGGTGGGACAGCGCGGCGGGTTACGTACTTTCGCCGGAGCACGTCGTTGCGGCGAGTGAGGGAAGCGGCGAGACGTGTACGACGCTACGGTTCCGCTGCAGACCGGTTCTGAGCAGCAGCGCCGACTCGCATCTGGTCGTCGATCCGAGAACCGGAAACCATACCTACCTGTGGCCGTGGCTCGCGGCCATCTTCGTCGACGGCCGTTACCACTGCTCGGCCTTACTCCTGGAGCCAGACTGGCTCCTGGCCAGCTCGAGTTGCACGGCAGCTATTCGGTGAGCGAATTCTTGCTTTCTTCAAGCTTCTTTCTTGTCTCAAAAATTACCTATATCCTACCCTTACGTAAAAGACGCACGGGCTAAGAATTGTAATTCATGTAGTTATTGTAATCCCTCACGAAAATATTACATTCGACGGACCACACGCGTGTAGTTATTGTAATACGAATATTACGGTGGCCAACTTATTACAGTAGACACATTACAAGGCATTAATATTTGTGTGTGGTTATTGTATATTATATAATATTTTCCTGTAGTTATTGTAGTATTTAGATCAGACGAATTACCCTAGCCGGTGCGTCTTTTTCGTAAGGGTATATATATATATATATATATATATGCGGAAAGAACAATTTTGCTGAATCCAGATCTGAAAATAATTTTTGTTCAGTAATCAAAATAATTTTGTGTGAAAGTCAAAATAATTGCTAAAATATCAAAACATCTTATGGCAGTACTTATCAGTTTTAATATTCCAAATTATTTTGATGGTTCAATAAAAAATTATTTTCCAATCTATTTTTAGTAAAATTTTTAAACCTTTCAACAAAATCGTTTTTTCCGTGCAATTCACTCACCTCTGTCAAGCCCAAATGTGTAAAATTTAATGAGCTGTCAGGTGAGCGAATCTGATTCTGTTCTCTTCAAGATTTCTCTTCATCTATAGAAAATAAAATGCGTATTTGATATACGTCTGTCAAATTGTGTAAAATTTAACGAACCGTTTAGTTATATTTTCTCGATCATTCCTCATCAGATTCTGTTGAGGAAAAAATCGACGGAAAATATTGACGAAGGAATTATGCGACAAATATAATAACGAAGAGTAAATTACAGATTGTCAGTGAACTACACGACAGCTCTGCTCGGTCAAAGCCGCTCGTTTCTCTACGTGGACGGACCTCATCAGCAAGTATCGGTCGTCGACGAGATCAGAGACGTGAAATTATCGGACGTCTCGTTGCTTCACTTGAAAACTGCGGTGAATTTTACTCGCTACGTGCAGCCGCTGTTCCTAGAGAAGAGGTGTGTACGCGCATTAATTATTTATCCGTTATTATATTCAGGGATTGGAAGTAACTCGTTACTTGTAACGCCGTTATCGTTACAGTTACTTTTTTTTGGTAACGATGTTATTCTATTTTTTCGGTAACTGTAACGGTAACGTCATAGTTACTTTTTTTCGATAACGGTAACGAATTATACAGTTACTTTTATTGTTACTTTTTGTATTTATGACAAAGTTTTCGTATGTATATTTATTCTTTAGTCTTTAGCTAGTATTCACATAGTTTATTCTTATTTTAAAGGGCTGTCTACAATACGTCATATGTCAGATCGTAAGCCGTAAATCGTAAAAATTGACCAGCAATGATCACAATTAAACGTAAGAAAAATATTCGACTACGATTGGTCAATTCTTAGTTAGTATAATATGAGTAGTGACTAACGGCTTATTGTAGAAAGCCCTTAAAACTGTTTTAATAATGTCTTAAAATATTAATATACTTCTGTGATTGATTTATGACATCTTAAGAATGTCATAAGTCAATCAATATCACAAATTAAATTGACAAGTAATTTAATAAGATATTTACGTTTATAAGCATCTTAAAATATTTTAAAAAATTTATTTTGAAAAATATCAGCTAAATTGCGTTTCAAGATTGAAAATTTAATTGGCGTGTAGTTTGTAGAATTGGATATGTATAATATATAAATTCACTTTGAAATATTAAGCACGAAGCTGGAAACTCTAGCTCATATCAAAAACGCTTTCTTTTTTTAAAATTGTATTTTTACATATCAGTCTAGTGTCATTGTTGTATTGCTTTTATTAATATTAAAACAAAAACTTGCATTTTAAATTATTTAGACTGATCTTGTTTTAACATTTAAAAAAGTAACGGAAAAGTAACGAATCGTTATTTTTTAAGGAACGGTAACGATAACGAGTTATTTTTAAAAATCAGTAACTAGTAACGGTAACTAGTTACTTTTTTAACTCGGTAACGAGTAACGATAACTAGTTATTTTTTAAAAATAACTTTCTATTTCCTGATTATATTATATATACTATATTAATTTTTTTGACTTAATGAATTTTCACAGAATATATCCACCGGCGAAAGACGATTTATGCGTGGCAATCGGCACAAACGACGAACACGTGACGCAATCGATCTTTCTTCAACCGATTCTCCAAAATTGCGACAAGTGCTATCGTTGTTTCGTCGAAGCTTTAGGATCGTTTAGCATCAAATGCCCGGTGAGTAGGTTATAGCTTCATAATAATTGAAATACAGTCGAAACTCGATAACTCGAACCTCTACAATTCAAAAATCTCTATAAGAAAATTTTGTTCATTTCCTTCCGCTTCACTACGGAAAATCTCTATAAATCGAAATAAAACCTATCTTAATTCGAATTTGTCAAATATTTAAATGTATTATTTTATCTTGAATTTAAAGTAGCCAGATCTCTACAAATCGAACTTCACCTCTATAAGTCGAACTTCTATTGCCGTTGCCTCTATAATTCGAAGTTGTAGCTATGTGTAATCATGAGTAATAGCCTTGTATTTGTTTTATGATAACATTTATTATATGTATGTAAAAATAATTCACTATCAAATGATTTTTTTTTCCTTTGAAAGCCATTACCTATAATCGGAAAATTATTAATTCTCGTACAAAGCCTTCGTATGTCGAATTTTCATATGTTAATCCTCTTTTATTCGAATTTCGATAAATCGAAAACTGTAACTCGAAGAGTTTAGCTCTTTCTTAATTGAGATTCAAATTATCGAGGTTCAACTGTATGATCATATATTTTCTTCTATTAATTGCACAAAATATACATTGCGGATTGACTTCATTTTTTATATGCCAATTCAGGTCAATGGAACTTCGTCGAATTGGAGCGGAACAGTGTTTTGTCGCGGCGAGAAAGGATGGTATCCCGCGGCTGTGTTTCAGGAAAACGGCGGCCTGTGCGGCTTCCGAACCGTGCGGAACTTGACGAGCATCGATTACATCCATGCCTATCTCACGCAAGCTTTGGGTAAGCTGTCACGCACACGCAGACGTGAAGACGCGTTCGCGCCATCAATTTTTAATCGTCCGATTAACTTTGACGTCGATTGTTGTACTTTTACGTGAAACAAAGCGATAATCAAACGCGATTTGATTCTTATACATTACGATATATCGTTTCTGCCGTGAAACGCATTATATATTGTATGACCCACGTGCTTTAACACAATTATGTCTTAATTACATCTTACTGTCTAATATAATATTAGTCTTCATCATAAGAAAAGAGAGTATGAAGTGAACAAGCTTGCTCAAGTGTTGTGATGCCGGTAAAATCCCGGTAAGCAAAAAACATTAGATGAACATTTTGTAATATTGCTTTTGTATGAATTTTATCACACAACGTTCTTATTTAAATATTTTATAAATTATTTAAAAATTTTATCTAATAATTATATTTTTGAATATTTGAAAAATGTTCTAACCATTTTATAAATGTTGCACTGATTGTAATATTAGCGCAACATCATTTGCAACAATATTTCACTTTCATGTCAATATTATTGAAACTTCTAGATAGGCATCAAAGTTTGTTCATAATAACATTATATACAATTGAGAACTAAGGGAAGGGGGAGGCAAATAGTGTCACTTTAAATTTCTCCTTTTTCCCGGGTCTATTTTATTACTACTCGTTAATAGAAAGACAATTCTCAAGCATCTAATCATCTTCTGAAAAAGCCATAAAAATCAAAAACCAATTATAGCTAGCGAAGAAGTTTAAAATTTTGCATTCGTGAAAATAAGGTAAAACCTGGATCTTATTTGATATTTGAAATTATATTTTCTTAATTGCTGAATCATTGAATGAGATCTAACTTATTTTATGTCATACGGTATCTTTATCCTCTATTTCGATATGATTTTTATGCTTGTATATTAATTTTATTTCTCTCAGTAAAGTTTTAAAGGAAAAAGTAGCTTCTGAGGCAAATAATGACAATTTTTAATTGAATAAATAATGACAATGTCAAAAAGCTTTTTCAATATTTGAATATGATTTTTCCAATTCATTTGGGATAATATGAGATTAGTTACAAGGCAAGATTCAGAATTAATGTGATTTTTAATAAGAAATACTAGCAAATAATGTTACTACTATTGTTTATCAATAAATAAAAATTTACATATGGCGGAGTATAGAAATTAATATAAATTACTTTATCTAATCAAAAGAAAGATCGATTAGGAAATTAAGAATTATGTATTTTGTAAATGTTCTATAGGATGTCACTATTTGCCCATAGGGTGGGACAAATAGTGACAAATGTAGGTTTCAGTTTTTATGAAAATTTAGCATGTGTACATGACTTACGGAAACTCTAATTAAGTTTTTTGTACATTTGAAAGTGAAAAGTACTCTTTTATTGAAAAATCATATCTTGTAAACTTGAAATTCGCTTGTAGGGGAGAGAGGAAAAAATCCATCACTTGCCCCCCTCCCCTTCTTTTCTTACTAAAATTGTATATTGTTGAAATGATATTTGGTTTACTGGGGTGTATATCGTACGCTTGCTATCTCAAATATATCTGTGCTATACATCGAGCGATAGTCGTTTAAATACACGGAGGTATAGATAAGCTTTGTAACAAGTATTTAACTATAGTCACTTATAGTAACGAAAGGATTAATTTTTTCAACATGGTGCTACAGAGGAAGCGCCGCAATCAACACCTGAAGTCACATGCGACGGTGTTCGATGCAATATCGGACAATGTATCCCTAAGAATCAAGTATGCGACGGTGTGGTAGATTGCCGAGACGGCGCCGACGAGGAGAGTGAAATGTGTCTACAAATGCAACAGATCAGAAGAACAAACGGATCCAACGACAGTAAGTAATTGTATTGAATAATTTACGGGGGGAAAAGAAGGAAATTAATTAAAAATTGTTATTTGTATTGGATTAACTTAAAATCTGGAATAATTTAAAAATCGAATGGAATTATTAATTATCGATAAAATTTAAATCGGGTAATCAGAGTACGCCGGGTGCACGGAAAGAACGCGGATTTTACTGGAAGCAGCAGAAAATAATTCTATTGGAAATTCAAACTGATTGCCAGAATATTAAAACGTTTTACAGCGATGCTCACCATTTATGAATTTCCAATAAAATTATATTTTGATGGTCTAACAAAATTATGAATAAAGAAGGCCAATATGCCAGTCATAGCAGGATCTTGGTGCTTCACATAGAAAAATCACATAGAAAAAAAAATATGTATAAGGATCATAATCCAAATAGCAAGGTGACGTTAAATGACGTTTCAATAACGTCTTATTGACGTTAGGGGCGTCATTAGGGCGTAATTAAAATGAAATGTCATTTGACGTCACCTTGCTAGTTGGGAGATCAGATGTCATTTCTAATCTTTCAGCTGCATTATTGGAAAATCGAGTAAAGAAATAAAAAAACTAAGGCAAACAAAAAGCCTTGATATAAAAATAAAAACGAGATAAAATTTCAATTTGCTTTCTAAAGTCAAAATAATCAAGAGTGCAACAGCATAAAATACTTTCGTAAATAATTCCGTAATAAAGTAAAATTTGCAGTCAATTAGTGGAATCGAACAACATTACCTACCACAGATTACAACAGTTCCCAGATAGCACACAGAGCCTAAAAGAATTAATTAGTATATTCAGTTTTATGTCATCAATTCTAAGTTCATTTTCAGATGCAAAAAGAATTCCGTTTAGAAAAAGAATTCTTTTTGCATCTGAACTCAAAATTAATGACATATAACTGAGTCCTTTCTTCATTCTCTGTGCTATCTAGGTTATTAATTATAAGATCTTAGCTTTTAATTATTAATTAAATTAATCTTAAGAAACTCAAACCAACTGTTAAAAGTTTTTGCAGTATTGCTTATCAATTGAGTTTTCAACATAACTATTTTGATGGTTCAACAAAATTATTTTTAGATCTGTATCTAAAGATAAATTTCCGGATCTTTCTACACACGGAAAGAACAATTTTACTGAATCCAGATCTGAAAATAATTTTTGTTCAATAATCAAAATAATTTTGTGCGAAAGTTAAAAGTTGATTACTAGAATATCAAAACGTTTTATAGCAATGCTTATAATTTTTAACTTTCCAGCAAA